GGCTTCCCGGAGCGGGTACGCTGCCGCTGCGAACACATCGTTCTGAGGCTTTGTAGCTTCTGGGGACTTCTTGTGCTACCCTGAAAATGCACGAAGGCCGCGCGGCTCAGAATGCAGCGAGTTCTTCGTCACAAGCCAAAGCCGTCAGGATTTCTTGGCTCCGTCCCCTCGCAGGCTTCGCACTCATCTTAAGGTTTTTCTGTCGATCCCCTGCAGGCAGTGAAATGAAAATAAGTTACAGAATGAGGCGAAACACCTTATTTGCCGTGTCTGGGCAAGTCACTGGAGCAGCTTTGCATCCTTCTCTGGTAGTTCGGCTTATCGTTGCTGTTATCTAGTGAAGGGATTTTGGTTGACATTTTGCAGAAGCCTCTGTTGACTATTGTGTTATTGACATATTCTTAGCTTAAAACCGTTACCTTGTTAGAGCCCTGGATTTAGAAACTAATTACAAGACAGTAATAGCTAAGCCCTAAGAGCTAAGGCGTGCAAATATTGCTATCTGTGAAGTTGAATATACAAAAACTATTTGAACTGCTGACTTACCGATTGCTCTTAGACTCCATTAGCAAAGGTGGCAATAAATCTGAGCACAATCCTCCACAATTGTTTTCTAATGTGTCCGTGGAATTAATGGCACTGTTGTTATGAAAGTCGTGTCAGGGAACGTGGCTATTTTTTTCCCCCGAGTAGGTTAATTATCACTAATGTAATTATTTTTGTACTGATTTTTATTTTAATCAAACATCGCATGAAACAATTTGGTTCAGAACAAATAGCTTATTACAGAAATGTTTGTGGTAGCGAGGAAGAAAAGCAACGATGTTTAAATTGTACACATATATTGAGTTACTTTATTCATTAAAATGAACAATTGTGTTGGGCCTTATGAGACAGACTAAGTATTTCTTGTTCTGTAGTGAACATAATGAGGATTTATATTGGAAATGGACCCCATCCCTCTAGCGCGAGGCATTTATGAACTGGGTGGTACGTAGGAGTCGAGAGAGCTTGGGGGGAAAAAAAGAGTTAAAGGTTAACCTCCAAGCAAGACGGATGCTGAATTGCGCTGGGGTTGTGGGAGAGGCACTGGATCTGGGAGGGAGCTTTTTCTTTTCTTTCTTTGTGGTTTTTGTTTGTTTGCTTGCTTTTGGTTTTTGTTTTTGTGTTTTTTCCACTGTACCATGGTGGTAGGGCAAAACATAGTGTCCCACTCTAACAGAGTGGCTCTGCTGGATCCACGTACCATGGAGCACAGCCAACTTTGGGGTTCTTTTTTCATCAGTTGTTTTGAATGTCCTACAATTAACCAGTTGCGGGGCTTTTTTCCCATTTATCAGAGGAAATCGTCAGTGGATGAACTGTAATAGCGTCAGTCTGCACATGATGCTGTTGAAGGTGTGCCAATGAACGTGATGACAAGTGGACGATGGGTACATATGTGATTTTTCAAGACATCAGAACATGTGTCCACAGCATGTAGTGCAGTCTAGGTTTTGCATCCTTCCCAAATTTGGCAGAATTGTAAATGGAGGAGTTCGTTGTGTCCCTCAGTACCGACTTGGTCAAGTGCTAAGTTCAAGATGCAAAATTGTTGGGTAGCTGTGAGTACAGTCTGTCTGGCTACATCTGCCGGTGGTGTTGGTTTGAGGAAAATAAACTCCCTAATCCTCCGTGTCCTATTTCTGTATATGACTGAAATGGAAGGTTCTACATAAGAAAGCAAGATTTGTGTTAATTATAAGAGTACTTTCTTATGAGTTCTGAAATTATTTACTTACTCCTTTCTAGATTATGATTAGCATTTTCAGAGAATCACTTTTTTATTACGGCATAAAAGCATATTAGATTTGCTTATAGAAATGTAGGATTTGTAAGTATATAGCACTCTTCTTCTGTGGATCTCAAAGATTTTGTAGGTCTTTGTTATAACTACAGTTGACAGCACCTCCAGCTTATAGGTGGGGAAATGGAAGGAAAAAAAATACCCGCCGACGTGTTGGGAAAGGCGCGACCAAGGCAGCGCCGCGGTTCCTGCCCCTGGATGAAACGCTCTGCTATTTTGTTTGTGTTGAAGGGCCTCTTACGGTAGTTGTGGACAAAAGTTATTCTTGCTCTTTTATCAGGGTTTTATGATCCTGATCTTGAAACTCTGAACTCGTTAAGCAACTGTTCATAGTGGCTGAAATATTGGGGAAGAGTCATTGAATATAAGCAGGTTTAGATTTAAGTAAATGCAAGAAAATGGCTGAATATAACAATTACTTGCCACAATAGAATCTTTTTTAGATTCAGGTTTTCAAAAGCTAAATTATTCAAGGAAACGGCAGTAAAAACTGGAAGAAGGAGGGAGGGGAAAAGGGGGACAGAAAAAAAAGTACATCAGGCACAATTATTAGGTCCTAAACAGCCAAATACACAGGTGAACATTTTATTGCTTTTGTTTGCATTTCTGAAAGGAGTTATGAAAAAATAATATATTTCAAAGACAAAAAATGCTTCAAAAATATTATTTTCTGAGTGGGAAAAGTGTCTCTAACTGGACTCAGATTCTCATCTCGCAACGCCAGGCTCTGGTGCCAGGTGGTTTACCTGACAAGCAGTTTTCATCATTCATTTTCTCGCCAGAAGCCTCTTTCGGCGGCCAGTGATACAGTTATCGTGGTGCCGTCCCAGGAGACCAGAAAAAGGACTTTCCATAATTTTGCCCGGTCTGCTGTTTATCTCTTCACACACCGTATCTGCGCAGAATGAAGTACCTTTAGGCTCTGCCAGCTACCCGGAAACGCCATGGAATAGGTCCGAGAATATGGGAATTCATCCTTTTATAGTCGTAAGGGGGGGAATATGATAATACATTCATAATTCCGTGGTTCTGCGAGATAGTAGCATGCAGAAAATTGGTGAGAATCCTTTCATCACTGGGTCAAAATCCACGCGGTTAGCGTGCCTTTCTCGTTTCATATCGATGAGTGCTGTAACAAGGGCGTCAAGTGGCTTCTGTGTTCAAGAGCTGTGAGAGAAAATGGAGGCTCCAGGCTGGATCGACGTGCCTCGCTTTCCAGCTGTACAGGTAAGTCACAGGTACCCTGTCTCAGTCTACTTTTTAAAAGGGCAGGATACAAATCAGTGGTTAAGAAGAGTGAAAGAAGATGCAAACTGCCGGTCAGTTGGTTTCTTAAGGTATTGTCGTTACATTTTTCCCACCTGCTTTATGGGTCAGAAAGCTTGGCCTCGGTTCTCTCTACTCACCATCTCTTTGGTTCTCTTTCCTGCTAACGTCTTTTGTCGTGCCCCTACAGATAGTTCCGCTCACGCATGCCCGCTTACTCCAGCTCTCCTTGCACAGCCTAGGAATCCAACTCCAGGTTTGTAAAGGGCTTGCTAGCCTCTACTAGTCGGACATAGAAATGGATTTCCTGGCTCCTTGTAAGAGCTCCAGGAAGACCAAACTACGATTTACCAGTGCAATTAAAGCAGTCTTTGTATTCTCCTTTATCATCAGTGTTCCTCAGCTTCTGTAAGCTACATACCTTCAGCTCAGCGCAGTATGAAAGAAGAGTTTGTGGATTTATTTCTTTTTTTTTTCAGAATAAGTTGGGAATATTGAAGGTTAATGTAGTTTCTCAAGCAGTGGCAGACCTCTACAATATCTGTTATCGAGGGATTATTTTTATAACATTCACAGCAGAGACTCTTGGTAGTATAGTATTTGAGGAGTGTGTGACTTTGGGTGTTTTTTTTTCAAATGTAGGGAATGAAGATGATACAGGATCTATTTTGAATTAAATTAGGAAAGTGCAACTTAATCCTTCAATTTAAGACTTGCAAACCCCACTCTTCCTGTATACATTAATAATCAAGGCAGCTGATTCAAGAAACTCATCTTAGAATTTTTTACTTGCAGGGAAAATAGTGGAACTTGTAAGCATTTAAATAACCTAAAAAACAACAACAACAACAAAAGCTGAATTATTTTTTTTTTTAATAACACTTATTCACATCTATCCCAGGAGATTAGGTTTTGGGTTTGGAAAAGCCATACGTATACACCCACACACAGAGCAGCTGTTGGAGCCACTGAAATTTTGCTGGGCAGCTGAGTTGGTAATTGGTGCCATGGATTGGCACTGGGAATGCCAGGACCTTCCCAGTGGTTCCAGTCTGGACTATTTCAGGGGGGCTCCAATGCTAAAGCTCCCTTGTTCTTGGAAACTGGTTAATGGCTTTAGCATGGAATATTTTCAAATGATTTGTGAGTCTAATTTTCTGCAGTGTTTGGGAGCCTTTGTGCACATACTTTGGAGTTTAGGTTTCTTAAGACTGCAGAACAAGTGACACTTCCCATTTATTTAATGTAATCATTTATAATTTGCACTCCCGGAAGCAGGTATGGTATTTCAAAAGCAGAATATGACTTTGAAATTAAATATTATCTAATTATTGCATTTTTCATTGATGGCTATTTTCTTTGTCCTTCATATTTCTTACATGGCTCATATTGCAGATCCTGCCACGTTCTCACTGATTTCATGCCCTATATAAGACACATTTCCCCCTCATTTAAAATATTAACCTGGTCAGTAGTAATTCCAAGAAGGGAGATCTCTTGTTCTGGTCTCCATAAGAAGCCCCAAGCTCTAGATGCATGGAAAGCGGTTTTGTGAATGTAACTCCTGCCTTCCCTCAAGCCATTGCCGTGTTCTTATTATATTCTGTGAAACAAGGAAGAGCTTTGCACTCTACTGTTTTAGCTGATGTCATGTGTCATTCCACCGGAATTAACTACTAGTATAAATGAAGGCAGTAAATGCAGTCCTGCATTGGTCCCGTGCAGAAACACTAGCGTGTGTGGTTCCTGGTGCTTTTCCAGGAGTCCATTACATACAAAGTTTATCCATTTGTTTTTCTCTCCATTGTAGGTTCCCCCTTGGTCCTTCTTCCTTCCATTCCCACCCTGGTTGTCTGACAGTAACGTCTACATAACCAGCATATTTCTATTGTTTCACATGTCTTGTAGATCGATGAAATGCAGTGGGGCAAAGGAGTGCGTGAAGTCCCATCCTCAGTCTGCAGCCTGCCTTGCAAGCCAGGAGAGAGGAAGAAGATGGTGAAGGGGATGCCGTGCTGCTGGCACTGCGAGCTCTGCGACGGCTACCAGTACCAGGCTGACGAGGTGACTTGTCTGCTCTGCTCATACAATGAGCGGCCCAACGAGAACCGAACGGGATGCCGTTCGATACCCATCGTCAAGCTGGAGTGGCACTCGCCCTGGGCTGTGATACCCGTCTTCTTGGCTATGCTGGGAATTATTGCCACCATTTTTGTCATGGCGACATTCATCAGATATAACGACACTCCCATTGTCCGGGCCTCTGGGAGGGAACTCAGCTACGTCCTGTTAACAGGGATATTTCTGTGCTACATAATCACGTTTCTGATGATTGCCAAGCCAAACGTTGCAGTGTGCTCCTTCCGGCGTATCTTCTTGGGCTTGGGGATGTGCATCAGCTATGCAGCCCTGTTAACTAAAACAAACCGCATCTACCGCATATTTGAACAGGGCAAAAAGTCAGTGACAGCACCTAGGCTTATAAGCCCCACATCGCAGCTGGCCATCACGTCGAGTTTGATATCTGTTCAGCTTCTAGGTGTCTTTATTTGGTTTGCAGTTGACCCACCCAACATCATCGTAGATTATGATGAGCAGAAAACTATGAACCCTGATCAAGCCAGAGGAGTTCTCAAATGTGACATTACGGATCTACAAATCATTTGTTCCTTGGGTTATAGCATTCTTCTAATGGTTACGTGTACTGTGTATGCCATCAAGACTCGGGGTGTCCCAGAGAACTTTAATGAAGCTAAACCCATTGGATTCACTATGTACACTACCTGTATAGTATGGCTTGCCTTCATTCCAATATTTTTTGGCACTGCCCAGTCAGCTGAAAAGGTAGGTGAAAATGAACAAAGGTGCATCTGATGTGTCCGGATTCATTGCAGTTATAAATTACGTACTGATGTTCAGCTTTACATAGATTTTAAAATGAGCTATCCGGTTAGCTCGTTACTGAGACGTGCAATATATAGCACTATTTTCCTTCTCCATTTAGCTAGTGGGCTATTAATTTGATAAACTGGCAAATGATCAATAGCAATCATATTAGCCATTAGTTTTATTGTTGCATCCATTTCAGTTGTATCTTTTCAGTAGGATAAGTGGGAATTAGCTGTCACATTGTCCAGAAAGAGGCATCTGCTAACTAAATCATTTTGAATACAAGATGTAAGCAAAAAAACTGTCAAAAAAGAGTCAGGTAGACTCCTGTGCCTCTGGAGTTCAGCACTGAGGGCATTGCTTAGTCTGATTAGTGCTGTGTTTCACAAATAGCAGCCTCGGGGCACATTTACACCACAGGGTAAATAGTCTGCCCTGAACTCCAGCTGCTGAGACTAGACTGACACTGCTATCTCTACTGGTTATTTTTAAACTAGCCCAGGTAGACTTACGCTATAGCTCATGTCAAGGCTATAGCCAGAGTCCCGGAGTGAATGCCAAGTCATTTTTCCTCGTAAGCGAGGTCCACTTAAGCCCATGGAGTTCATTCATCAAAAGCCAGTCCAAAATGTTACACTTAGGCAACTTAGGAAAAAGCATCCAAACGTTAGGACCTAATCCATTAGTTGAGCTGTTACAAAAATTTATTATTGCAAAGCGCCATCAGACTCGATTAAAAGATTCCCGTTGGCTTTGAGAAGCTTCAGATGCCGCAGAGGAGTCTGCAGCGTGTCTGTCGCAGGGCTCAAGTGCACATCGCGTCCATCCCGTGCTTGTGGCTGCTCAGGCACGGGCAGCTGGGGAAGGGAGCTGGGCAGCTGAGGGGAATACGCCCCGGCAGTCAGAGCAGACGTGCATGTGAAGAGGTGCAAAACTTGGGCAACTTTGGGCTTTGCTGCCAACAGAAATCGGGTTTAAAGTGCTTTTTGTAGATACATCAAATCAGCTTTGCTGGGATCCCAACCCCGCGTGTTGCAGCTGATGCCGTGATGGTTTAGGTACAAACATTAACAGCCTCTCTTTTGTCTCACGCAAAGTAACAAGGAGAAAGTCACTCCCTCTTCCCATGATATTTATTGTTGAGGGCGATGGCCTTGGAGAAGGAAGGCAATAAACAGCCAGAGGACAATATGATTGATTTTCCAGAACATTGCTGGAAGGTCTCTTGGCAAGAAAAACCTTTTCAGATTTGCACTTAGAAGTATTTAAAAAGGAAGGACGTTAGTTGCTTTGTGCATTTTGAGGACAGCATTCAAGAGGTGAAAAATCGATCTGCTGTTAGAGCGTCCAGGGCTAAATGGAACCGCGAGCGCCTGAGCATCGCGGCGTCGGTTACCCCCGGGCCCCTCCTGCGTGCTCCCCTCGCTGCCAAGCGGCTCCAGCTGATGCTTGGTGGTAGAGATCTGGTTTTACTTCTCTCTCAATCTTGTTTGGGGACAGCTGTAAGTTCAGAGTGATTTAGCAAGCCTAGTCCTTAGGGAGAAATGAAAATACCAGGCTGTCCTGAATCGCTGTCAGACCATTTTACCCTCCCCAGCCCTGACCCCATCTACCTCCTCGCCCAGAGGAAGCCAGTGCCGCGTCTCCTTACACGTGGCGTACTCCAGCTGGATCTAGGCATCGTTGACCTCGCCTCAAACGCTCTCCCAAAGATCTTGCATGGATTTAGTAGCATACTGCCAGTTACCCCACTCACTGAACCCAAGCTTCCCTGTGCAGGAAGGAGCTTTGGCTTCTTGCTATTTTTTCCCCCCCTCTATCTTTATTTGACGTTTCTTCTTTAACACAAGCTCTCTGCTGTGGATAAAATTGGACCTTTTAAACGAGTGAGCGAATTTCACATCTCATTTTGTGCCGGGACTATCATTTCCAAATTTGCAGCTGCTGAACTTAGGGGTTATTGAAATGGAATTGCAGGAAGACAGTGGTGGTGGCACTGAGGTGGGTCCGTGCTCTGGCTGGAAGTCTCTTCCATAGGAAGGTGCCTGCACCCGAGCTTTGTCCTTTGCAATCCAGGAGGTTGGCTGTACGGAGATCTGCGATTGCTTGGGCCGGTGGAAGAGGAGATCGCCCAGGTCGTGGAGGTTTTCACGTATCGCCTCCCCTCTGCGATGGGCTTTATGAGCAGCCCTTGCATCCCTAAAGGGAATTCATTTCAACTGCCGAGGAGGTCTGCCAAGGCTCACAGGTGCTTCAGACACCTCTGCCCTCCCCGTCGAGGGAGAGGTGAGGAACAGCGTAAGCGGCTTTCCAGGCAATTGGTCCCGTTTGTGCCTTTGGTCTGACGCGGGGAGGACCGCGCAGCTTTTGTGCTCCCCGCCTGGGAATGCTTTAGGCCTGCAGGTGACCAAGACGAAGTGCTTTAAATTGTCATCTGCGAAGATTTAACCAGGTGATAGAAGGACCCAAAGAATTTCAAAGGCTGTTGCCAGCACTGAAGACGGTTTGGCAGCAAAAGCTTTAGGTTTCCATGTAGTCACAGAGATGAATTGCCCCGTACTTCTTTGACAGGGTAAGATTCATGTACGAATTCGTGTAGGACAGCAAAAGAGACGATGATTATTTCACGCGGAGCACGGAAGAGGGTACTGGGCAAAGTCAACAGCCCTTGGCTTCGCTGGGCTCCAGCCAAGGGGACCATCCCAC